TCATAAGCACGTGATCCTCTCGAAATTTGTTTATACATAAACTTCACTTCAAGAGTTCACACTTAGCTGATGATTAATTATAAGCTTGTTTGGCATGCTGTCCCGGGAGAGAGCCCTGAGCTCATGAGATCCTCGAGCCCAGGACTCCCTCCCGTTGCAAAGCGGGAGGGGAGTTTGAGCTCAGGTAGATCTCGAGAACTCCCCAAAAATGCCTTTGAATAGCTCGGGACAGCAGCCGCGTATTGAAGAGCCCCCCAAAAAGGCAGGTGTAACAAGCCATATCCGGCTGCTGGATATAGTGTTGATAGCTTAGGAAGAGAAGCTTCTAAGGGAGCAGAGCAAAGTAGGCTGCTAGAGCCTAGGCGGGGTGAGGGCAGGGCTGGATTGACTCCGCGGGAGTCAAGGCTCAAATATATACACCCCTGCGGGGGTGGGAGCTGGGGTTAGTTTGCTCAAGCAAGAGTCGGGAAGATTTGGGCGGTGGAGACTCTTGCATGAGAGGGTGGGAGGTGGCCAGGGCCTGAACTCCGGCGGGAGTTGAAGCTCGTTTTAGTCGCCCCTGCGGGGGCTAGAGCTGAGGATTGAGGGCCTATGCGTAAGGAAGAACATAGCGAAAGAGTGACGCTGAAAGAAAGACAGTTAGCGGAGAACTCAACGCTGGAAAAGAATTGAGGAAATAGGAGGGTAAGGAGATAAGGGGGAAGATCAGAGAAGGGTAAAAGTAGCGGAAGCACTCACGCTGTAAGGAAGAAAGAAGGGGCAAATAATTGCCAGGCGGAGAATCTCAACGCCAGAAAGAAGAAAAGGAGAATATAGAAGTATATATGCATATATAAATATATATGAATATATATGATTATTACATGGTAAGGGCCGGGCATGGGTGGTGATTGACTCTTGCGAGAGTCGAAGCTCGGAGCGACCCCTGCGGGGGTCAGAGCTGCTGTGGGCATTTCCCCTGCTGAAGTCTGGGAAAGGGAGGGGGTGGTGGAGACTGCAGCAGGGGGTGGCCGGGGCGGGACTCTTGCGAGAGTCGAAGCTCGTTTTAGTCACTCCTGCGGGAGTTAGAGCTGAGGATTGATGGCCTATGAGAAAGGAAGAAAAGAGAGGGCGGAGGAACTCGACGCCAAAGGAAGAAAAGGAGAGAGGGAATAACCTGCGTGCATGAGCATGCACGTGCGTCTATTCCTGTTTCGGCATGTGCATGCACACGCATCGGAACAGGTATACATCGGATGTATGCGTATAACATGCGCATACATGCCATTTCTAATGGCCTGGGTGGGGCGGCGCAAATGGTGACTCTTGCGAGAGTCGAAGCTCAGCGCGACCCCTGCGGGGGTCAGAGCTATGGGGGGGGGGGGGGGGGGGGGTAAGAGTCGGGAAGAGGGAGGGGGTAGTGCAGGCTCTTACTGGAGGTGGTAGTGAAGGGGTGGCCAGGGATGGGCTAGGGGTGACTCGCGAGAGTCGAAGCTCAGATTGGACCCCTGCGGGGGTCAGAGCATGGTGAGAGAAGGAGCATAGCAGATTGAAAGGAAAGTTGATAGCATAAATGCAAGCTGCACAACATGTAATGCCCATGGGCTCACATACTCATTTGCTTGCACGTGCATATGCATACCTAGACGTAAGCCCACACCCATATACATATCCACGTGCAAATAAGCATGTATACGTGTGCAAACGCACGCTGTATCTGCGCGAGCAACCTCACACATTCCCATGCGCACCCGTACACAAGCACACACGCACACGTACTCCAGCCTACTTAGGGTCGAGCTCGTACCCCTAGTTGGAGTTTGGAATTTAGCTGATTAGGGCTAGCTGGGCTGTCTTGAGGTGGGATCGGCTGAGGCGAATGTAAGCTTTGAAGGCATCGGAGGACCAGCGGCCTAGGGTCTGGATTTGGTGCGAGGATAGACTTTTGTGAGCTGCTGTGGTGGCTGCACCAATTCTAAATAAATGCTGGAATAAAATTCAGGGGAACGCCCGAAAGGCGAAGGACTTCTTTCAGATGTTTTTGAAACCAAAAACGGGTTACTGGACGGTTAGCGTCATCAGTAAAAAGTGGGGCATGTGGGTCTGACTCCTTTGCTCTCCTTGAATGGAGAAAGGCTAGGAGAGTTTGGAATGGCTGTGTGGGGGAAAAATGTTAAATATGTAAATAAAATGCCCTTTGCTTGTCTGATCTGTTTTGCTTTGCTTAATGAAAAAGGCGAGTGTTTCAGCATTCAGCAGTGTTAGAACAGATATAGTGGGGTGTATTGCGGGATTGAAATTGGATGTGATAGCCATTTCTGAATATGACTCAAGGGTCCTTGGTGCGACAGCGTGAAGGATCAGGGATATGGAAGTTTTATGGCAATATCATTTGTGAATAGAGTGGAACAGGTGTTGGATGCTGGTCTGCTTCCGGTACCAAGAGCCGAAATTTCTGGAAAAGAAAGTGAGAGAGAGAATCAGCAATTTGATTTTTTGCAAACTGGAACATGTCTAGCAGTCATAATGAATTGCTTTTTGGCTGCCGTCCAAACGAGGCGTCTTAATAAGGGCATAATTGGAAGTGCGTGCGAGCGTCCTTTATTAATGCAATAAACGGTGGCTTCGTTGTCGCAATGAACGAGAATGCTAGAGGCGGACCATTCATCTACCCATAAAAGCGCTGCTGCGACTATGGGGTAGAGTTCGAAAGCGCAGATGATTGCTGATTTCTGGGTAGACTGAGCATCTGCGGGGGCCACGTTGAAGTAAACCAGTGACCTTGGTAAAAGCCGCCGAACCCGACTGAGGGGGCAGGGTCAGTGAATAAATTAATATCCACCGGGGAAGAAATTAGGTCGCTATCGAAAAAGGAACAGCCGTTCCATTGCTTAAGGAAGGAGATCCATAAGCTGCGTTCATTGCGACTGGGTTTAGAAAGATATATGGTATCTTCTAAACCGGGGACCGAGGAGGAGCTGAAGGAGGTGAGTAATAAACGGGCGGCCTTGAGGAATTATGCGCATCGCGAAATTGAAATGCGCGAGAATAGATAGCAGTTCGCGTTTGGTGCATGATGGTTTCTCGAGGAAATTTTGAGATAAAGAGATTATACGGTCAATCTTTTCTTTGGGAAGGGATGCTTGAAATTTATTCGAATCTAAGTTGATGCCCAGAAATTCTATGGAAGTGCTGGGACCGGCTGTTTCTCCTCTGCGAGGGGGATGCCTAGATGAATGCCAAAAAGGTGCCAGAAGTCTGGGTGAATTGGCATGATTTTTTTAAAGGCGGATGAAATGTCGATTTTTGCAAGCCAAGCATTGCGGCCGGCTAAACTGATGAGCGAAATTGCTTGGTCTATATCATGATAATTCAGCGAGTATTCGTCTGATGGAATGGTGCTGTTAATGCTAGGAATATAGAATTGTGAGGAGCGGAGACCAATAATCAAGGGTTTTTGCTAGAGAATTCTCAAGTCGCAATGTCAATGGGACTAATACAAGAACGCTGAACAGTGGGGCAAGAATAGTACTATCATGAGTTTATTATCGATTCTTTTTGATTAACGAATTCACTGTTGCAGGTTCGGTAGTCGCAGATTGTAGATTGGAGCAGAATAAGGTTAAGGAAGGGAGAGCTGAAACGCCCGGGTTAGATCCTTGGGTTAGATCTGAAATCAGAAATCAGAAGTTAGTATCAGGGTGACAATGCAATTCAAGCAATTTGAGAAATATGGCATCGTGGATGTGAGCTATGTGAGTGGAAATGCATCCTTTATGTAGAGTGTGATTGTATTTGAAGAGCATATAAACTGTAATGGGTTGGATGAGGGTCAGGTTCTGCAGCCAAATGTCATGGTCTTTTTATTAATGCATGGTCTGATAGCTTGATGTCGCTACGTGCAAGGATGGTAGAGGTGAGCATTCATCCCCCCACAGAATGGCAACTGGAAGGAGAGCTGAGGATAAGGGGTATGGTTTGTCTGGTGGTCCTGGAAGTGTTTATTGAAGATCCGTTGTCAGAAATGTCCTCCTATTCATAGCAGCCAATCAGGAAGTTGTTTGTTGCTGTTTCACATCCAACTGACTTGCCATTATAAGCTTACATAAGACACTAGTGTATGAATAAATGAGTCACTGGTCTAGTGTAATTGGACCCCAGTGCTCTGTGTATAAATTTTTATTTTATTATTATTATTATTTTTTTATTATTTTTTTTTTTATTTTATTTTTTTTTGCTAACATCAAACTCTGAACTCTATAAGACTTCGAGGGCGATGTCACCACTTAGTAAAACTGTGAATGGAATGTTAGTAATTGGCTTTACTTTAATCCATGAATAACATTTGTTGATATCTTAACTTCATTCACAAGCTTGTCTGGTCCAAATTCATTCATAAGACTTGCAACAGAGTCAAGAGAGAGGGCAGGACCTTCTCCAGAGAGCTTATTGGGTGGTGACGCTTCTCCTTACAGCTATTGGCTTAAAGGAGAGCCAGTCAAGCGTGCCAAAGGTGAAAAAGCCCGGCGGCCATTTTGTTGATCAAGTTCACCATTGTTTATGACTTGAGCTGTTGCTTGCTGAACATTCCAGCAAACAAGCTGTTAAATGTTATGGATCAGTGGACGGGCAAGAGGCAAGTATCTTTAGTTAAAATCATTGTTTACACTAGTCTTGTTATTCAAAAGATTTATAAATGTTTAAGTCTAAATGTTTGGTAAAGTTATTTTGCAAAGCTTCCCTTCATGTGCATAGCATGTGCACCGCTAAGAAAAAGGTAATGGTTCAGTTTCATTGCAATGGCTTTGGAGTTTTTGGCTGTCATTTGCTGGAGAATAGGGTTGAAGAAACAGCAGATGCGTTGAAGTAGAAGGTTTGATGTTTGTTGAAGTCGTTGATGCAATTGTTGGAGTTGTTTTGAAGTAGTAGTTGTTGTTGCTGCAGTTGTTGTTGCTGCAGTTGTTGTTGCTGCAGTTGTTGTTGCTGCAGTTGTTGTTGTTGTTGCAGTTGTTGTTGTTGTTGCAGTTGTTGTTGCTGCTGTAGATTGTAGCTTGTAAATTATAGCTAGTAGCTTGTAGATTATAGCTGGTAATTTGTAGATGGTAGCTGGTAGATTGTAGCTGGTAGGTGATAGCTGGTAGGTGATAGCTTGTCCCAGATAGCAAAATACACTCGGGCCAGTTCCGGCTAGATTGTCGCCTGCCGGAGACTAACCCCTCGGCCCAACTTCGGCTGCCGGACTCGGGCCGGATGCCTGTGGACTCACTGCCCGATTCCGGCCCGAATCAAGCGGGCCAGATGCGGCGGCCGTAAGCGAGCCGACGCTGCGCATCCGCGCCGGAATCGGCGCGAGGGTAATGTGCGCTGCGGCCCGGAGCTGGCGCGACTCCGTATTTATACACCTTATAAAACCTTTTGGTATTACATTGGTACTTGATATATGGTATTACAACCATTTGAATTTATATAACAGCAAACACAGGCTATAATGTAAACACAAAGTGTAAGCACTGCGTTTAACCTTTGAATAAAGTGCAAACTGCATACATATTCTGTAACGAAAATAATCAAGACAAATGACAAAATAAATAAATGTTAAACGTTTATTGATTGCATGAAAAAAATAGTACTAAAATTTTATAAATAATTTTGTAGTGCACAAGAATATCAATATAAAAACAACAATAAAACAACACAATAAAGACACACAGAAAGATTTAAACAAAAAATCTAAAAATTACACACAAACACAGATGTTTTTAAAACAACCCTGTTTTCCCAATAGACTTGAATTAAAAATTTGTACAAACAGCTAAATTTTATATAAACCTAAATATAGAAACCAATTTAAGATATAGCAAGAAACATCTTAAAAATACCAATGACAATCCGTAAAATATCCAAGTCAAACTTGTAAAAAGTACTGCAGAATTCTGAAGAAACATCTTGAAACATTTTTTAATAAAACATTAAATAATAAACAAACAAATATATATATATATATATATATATATATATATATATATATATATATATATATATATATATATATATATATATATATAATTGCAGAACAAAATCAATTGCACAAACAGCAAGACATGAGTGAGATGATTATAAATTTCATATATATACACGTCTTGTGCAATTTTATATTTATAATTTTATTTGTATTACGTTTATTAAAAATGTATCAAGATGTTTCTTCACAATTTGGCGCACACACATACATACCATACATATACACACACACACACACATATACATATACATATATATATATATATATAAATAAATGCAAATGAAAGAAACAAATTGTTCAAGTATCAGGGAACATCCTAATACACTTAAAATGTTGTTTAAAAAATAAAACAAAATAGTGATGTAGACATTTGACACATTAGCTTTCTCTTCTTTCTTCCTCCATCCCTGTCAGGGGCAAGTTGTAGCTACCTTGTAATGCATTTTTCCACTTCTTTATCAGTGGTGTGGTATCGACATTTGTCCTCACTCCATCTGTGATTAAAAGATAAACAGATAATTAGTAGTGAACAAGTACTAATGTAAAAAAAAAAGAAAAAATTAGGAAAAAAGTAGGCTACCTACGAAGCAAAAAAACTATAAAAAAAAAACAAATAAACTTAAAACACTTTGAAATTAGCAAGAGCTTGAACTTACCAGTTTCTTCATTTGTTCGGGCTGCTCCTTTAGTTGATTTTCAAGCTTTTCCAAATCAAATTGGCCAAAGGAAGGTCAAATGTGTTTACATCTGGAATTTCATCACGTCTGTTTTGGTTTTGCTGTGAGAATCAGGCCCAGCTGCTGCTTTATGACGTTGCATGATTTTAAAACTTCAGTCAGTCGTGCTAAAAAAGAAAAATAACAGATTAGTTTAAATCAACCTGTAGCTTATTCTCATACAACTTCTGTAAATACAACAGTGGTTTAGACACTGCTGATATTCTCTAGTTGATCTTTACTTTCTAGCTGCATTAAACCTTAACAAATTTAGTGATGTCTTCAATTCTTACAAAGACATCACGAGATGCAATAAGTTCTGTCTTGATCTCAAACTGCACTAGAACAAAGACTGTAAATGTTCATAGGTGTACTGCAGGAGTGTCCAAACTTTTTGGGCCGAGGGCCAGATGCAAAAAAACAAACGTTGTCGCGGGCCAAATTTTACATACATTACACAGACATATATATACATGTCTGATATGACATGATATATATGTACATGATATATATATATATGACATGATATATATATATATACAGTTGAAGTCAGAATTGTTAGCCCCCCTAAATTATTAGCCACCGTTTATTTTTTCCCCACAATTTCTGTTTAACGGAGAGTTAAACATTTTTTCCACACATTTCTAAACATTTTAGTTTTAGTAACTATTTCTAATAACTGATTTATTTTATCTTTGCCATGATGACAGTAAATAATATTTGACTAGATATTTAAGACACTTCTATACAGCTTAAAGTGACATTTAAAGGCTTAACTAGGTTAATCAAGTTAACTAGTCAAGTTAAGGTAATTAGGCAATTTATTTTATAACAATGGTTTGTTCTGAAGACTTAAGGGGCTAATAATTTTGACCTTAAAATGGTTCATAAAAAAATTTAAACCGCTTTTTATTCTAGCCGAAATAAAACATAAGTCTTTCTCCAAAAGAAAAAATATTATCAGACATAATGTAAAAATGTTCTTGCTCTGTAAAACATCATTTGGGAAATATTTAAAAAAGAAGAAATAAATCAATGAGGGGCTAATAATTCAGACTTCAACTGTGTGTAGATAGACAGACAGACAGACACAGACAGACAGATAGATAGATAGATCATAACAAGAACTGCTGCTTAATTGAATGCATGTAATAGCGACACCCGGTGGTTATTTATTGAATTACGTTCATTTTTGTATAGCGGGCCAGATTCTATAGATATTTATAAAAAGCCTCGCAGGCCGTAGTTTGGACACGGCTGGTGTACTGGAATGTACAGTATCTGTGCATCTTGATGGTGGTCTTAAGATTTCAGCCATAGTCATTGATGGTGATGTGACTTGTGGTGCTGCATTGATTTCTGAAATCTTCATACCTGCCTTTTATCCAGCCTCTTTGTTCCAAGTAATTTTTCTTCATCATGGTATAGATGTGTCTATACTGTCCCTTAATCAGATACATTTACAAAACAAAACATCACTTTAGTATAATGCCAGGGAAAAACTCACAGGTTGTAATAGATCAATGACATAATGTTGACAGTATGTGTTTAAAATAATTGCAAACAAACCTGTTCTGTCTTTAGATGTATGACAGGCGATCATCATCCTCATCCGTCTACCAGTCAGAAATCACAGTTGCGTGTGGATGTTTGAGTCGAGCTTCCTCATATGCATCTATAATAAAACATCACATTGTTGTTAACCTCCCCTAAAGAAAATTTCAAACCCTGAAATACTAACAAAGTTAATTAATGGCTAATACCTATAGTGTAAATAATCGGTACACAGAAGGTTGCACAAGATTTATTCGGAGATTCATGCAGAGTGACAGCCTTATGAATCTGAGACATAGATTTGTAAGATGGTCAAGCACATGCATTATTCTGTACCCATGAAGATTAACCTACCATTGTGAAAAATGTTTGTTGATGATAGCCAATAACAATAAACCATTTCAGCTGTTTGTGAAGCAATTAGTAATATAATGTCTGAAAAGCTCAATCTATGTTGAAAATGTATCAGCAGTTTACAGCTTATAATGGACTTTTAGCACACAACTATAACATGCCTATTCACGTTCAAAAGAGTGTGCCATTGACTTCTTTGGTCGTGATGTGCTGCAAAATGATCTCACTAACCTTTGTTAAACAAGAACAATGAGACTTAACCAACAAATATTGTTACCCATTCATTTAAATCAGAATTTATCACTGTCAATAACATAAAAAACAAAAAAAAAAACATCAAAATCTGCTTTAAGACGTTCAGTTTTACATTAACTTACCATTACAGCTTGAACAAAAGATATAATTGATTCACATAGGCTAACACATATGAATTAAAGTGCACACTAATATATTTCTCTCGGATAATTTAAAGAGAATAGTAAAAAGTCGAGTTTCGATCATTTTCGTGACTAACTGCATAAACAAGATAAAAAATAATATTTTATTAATCCAAAACGATTAGTTTTTATTTACTCATAATCACAGAATCAATACTGTTGGAGAAGTATACGCCTGTATAATGATTTTTTTCAACATCCACGGTACTTTATAATGTTAAATCAGGAAAAAAACACGTTTTGCCAAGTTAGTTAATGGATTCGTCTACAGAAACTTTAGCATATACACAAATTCGTTTCATGTTTCTTTAAAATAATTAAAATAGTTTTCAGTTACTACACACGTTACAATCTAACATTGTGTAAAAGGAAAAGGAACTTTCAGACGTGTTTGTAACTGTTAGCGTTAGCATACATTAGCTCCAGTTGTGTTTCTTAAAGCAAGTTACATTTCGTATCAAACTGTTTTAAATTACTAAACGCTGTTACAACCAAACACCGTGGAAATGTTTTAAGCTCTAAATTCGCTAATTATACAGAACACAAGCAGTAAAAAGCTTACCTTTCTGACCGGAGTCCACGTGAAATGTTTGAAAAAAACCAACCCTTTTCTTCTTGTGATCTTCGTGCCATGGTGGTTGACAACCAGCTTTTTGGAGCATTACCGCCACCGTCTGGATTGGAGTTTGGATCAGGAATTTAGTAACGCATGTGTTTATTATGAAACCAACTTCTGCTTTAAAAAAAAACAGTCAGCACAGGAGCGTGCTATCTCAAAAATAAGCGAATTTTACATAGTTTTTCTCTAGATGACATGTATAATCTATTTATAAATAATATTGTTTTGTTTGCGTCTAAACATTGCGACCATCCACACTAAATATTCTTTTTTTTTTTTTTGCAATCGTACCATGAATATTTTCTCAAATTATCATTAAACGTGGAGCTAACAGATTACTAGATAAAATAAGAACTTAATCGGTTGCCATCAGCCGAGTCCTTGCCAGAAGCGGCCAGGATATGGTTGACCGGAATCGGGCCAGTGCTTTACAGCCGCATCACAACCACATGTGCGCGAGCGAGCTGCGGGTCGCACTCGGCCCGGATAACACTCGCCGATGCCGAGTCGGAGCCGGAGGCGCCGAGGGGCAGCCGAGCTCGGGCCGATTACTGCCTGCTATCTGGGGTAGATGCTTTGGTTGTCCATGCTGGTTTAGAGTAGGTTCTTCAACGGAGCTAGCTACGGTGAAGCTGTCTCTTCAAAACGAAGATAGCAATGGAATAAACCCCAGGGTATTTATAGTAGTTTAGGAGTCATCTGATTGGATAGTAGTGAATTGGATAATGCGGGTCAGCTGCTAGCAATCATAAGCACGTGATCCTCTCGAAATTTGTTTATACATAAACTTCACTTCATGAAGTAAAGGTAAATTGTTGAAAAAGTGCATTAATACAGCTTCAGACAGTTATCAATGAAAGAGTTTTGAGGAAATATGACAAATAGTTATTTTGTGCTTGTTTATAGATATTGCTTTATTCATTTGTATACAAGGTATAGGAGGTTGTGATGCACAAATGTTGTTCATTTGTTTATACCTTGTTTTATGCTATGAGAAAGTGATCACAATACATATTTAGGTCTATTTTGTGAGGTTAGTTGTGAATCTGTTTAGAGCCCTTTTGAGTGTGGTTTAAATAATAATTTGTCAGTTTCATTTATTTGCAAAACAACTGCTCTAAAGACGAATTACCATGTTTGTAAATATTCAGAATAAGCACGCAGCGAGGTTGCAGAAAAACCAGGAAGGCTAGCATTTACAGCGAGGGAATGACATCCGATGCGGTACAGAGTTTGTTGTTGTCTTAGAAATAAGTGATATTGATTTCATATATATATTATTTGCATAATGCTTTCATAGTATTATGTTATCTTGTCACCCAGTGATAAGCACAGTGATTTGGCAAAATTAACGTGAACTGCATTCATCTGACAGCTCCATTTGCAATAGCACCCTCCCAATGGATATTGGAAAAGATGAAATGGCCAAGCATACAGGCCCAAATATACAATCTCATGGCAACTTCAAGTGATTTTACAAGAGAGAAGTTAAAGGCCTACAAGTCTTTGGATGCCAACAATGTTGTTCTGTGTAGTCATGTGCAAGAAATAATGTTCCATAATTACCAGATTCAAAACTTTGTAGAGCTAAAAACAGAGGTTCTGCCTAGCTAAAGACAAGGACTATACAAGGCCTGGGTAATCATCAACAAGCAAAAAAATGCATTCTGACAGCAAACAGCACCTGTACGGTAGAGTATGTGAATTTACATTTTTACATTTCATCCTTAGCATTCAGTGTTCGCAGTTTAATTAACCACATGTTCTGCTGAAATCATTGCTGCAATCAAAAATTAGTAATGTGTATGATTCAGCATAGCGTACACTTACCTAATAAAACAAGAGAACTGCAGAGTTAATTTGATTTAGGTCCTCACTTCATTCAGCTCACTTTTAGCCAAAGACATCTGCAGTTGGCATTAAAAGCAGTGTGGTGTGCGGTATTTTCCATTTTTGGCATCCTACCGCACAACGCGGCATGTTTGCTATTGTGACCGGTCTCTTTTTGCAGCCAGGAACCCGTGTGACATAGGTTGGTAATTCGTCTATAGGACATGTTATCATTTATGACTCTTGTGTCATTTATGCTATGTGTCCATAGCATAAAGAATCAAGATTCAGTAAATTATTAGCTGCGATGCAAACACAGTTGTCATGCTCCTGTGTTTTCCCATATGTTTTAACAGAAATAGACATGTTGCTACAAGAACGAACATTGTCTCCTTCTTGAGAGTCTTGAACTTGTAAAACCCATTCTTAAGGTGCAGATGATCACAGAAAGCTGAAGAGATCTTTTATTCCTGGTTGCTTTGCACACATCCTGTCTTGTGTATATGATTAGACACATTACTACGGAGACATGCTAATATGCATCTGTCTATCAATTCAGTGGGTTGGTAAAACACACTTTTACATCATATTGTGGTAGGCTTCAGAATTGCAGGGATTTGGTCATTAATTATGGTGGCTTGAAAAGCCAACATACTGTTATCTCACTTAAACTTATTATTATTAGGCTGGCTTGTGTAGCAAGCCAGACTACTGTTATCCTATTAAACTTATTATTATTAGGCTGGCTTGTGTAGCAAGCCAGACTACTGTTATCCTATTAAACTTATTATTATTATTATTCTATATTATTCTTCTTCTGAGACTAAAAATTAAACTCTATCTCCACCTAGGCCATTCAAGCTATGACCATCAAACTTGGGTCAGACCTCCGAACTATTCTGACTCGAGTTGCTATATCCTTTCCGACTGATCCGACTTTCGGTTTCCCAAAAAACGTCCCGGGACCGTCGGAAAAATCCCATAGACGTAACATTGGATCAAACTTTGTGACCTCATAACTCCGCATCAGAATGTCACACAGACTTCTAACTGGGCTCATTTAACTCAGACTATCAAACTGCCAATGACTGATCACCTTTAAACTTTCTGGCCACGCCCTAGCAACCACTTTTGGACCCTAGAAACCGTCCCATAGACTTCCATTGCAAAAGACTCTCATTGACTTTACATGGGATCAAACTTTGTGAGCTCATAACTCTGCATCAGACTGTCCTACAGACTAATGGCTAGGCTCATTTAACTCAGTCTAGCCAGCAGCCAATCACCGATGGCCTTTTAACTTTCTAGCCACACCCTAACAACCAGATACTGCACCCTAGCAACTGTCCCATAGACTGCAATTAAAGAGGTTCAGACTGATATTGTCATGCTGCAGTGTGATAGAGACATGGGGGTTGTGTTTAACTGTTCATACTGGCAAGAAGCTTTGATACATCATCAGTCTAAGCTGTCAATCAACTCCATAGCAACAAAACAGACTAACCTAGCAACGATATGGCACCAGCTATATCTCAGCATCAGAACATCGTAGAGAGGCGGGGGTTGGCTTGTTTGACTCATGCTCTTACATCATCTATCTATCTATCTATCTATCTATCTATCTATCTATCTATCTATCTATCTATCTATCTATCTATCTATCTATCTATCTATCTATCTATCTATCTATCTATCTATCTATCTATCTACCTCTATCTATCTATCTATCTATCTTTCTATCTTTCTATCTCTATCTATCTATCTATCTATCTATCTATCTATCTATCTATCTATATCTATCTATCTATCTATCTATCTATCTATCTATCTATCTATCTATCTATCTATCTATCTATCTATCTATCTATCTATCTATCTATCTATCTATCTACCTCTATCTATCTATCTATCTATCTACCTCTATCTATCTATCTATCTATCTATCTATCTATCTATCTATCTATCTATCTATCTATCTATCTATCTATCTATCTATCTATCTACCTCTATCTATCTATCTATCTATCTTTCTATCTTTCTATCTCTATCTATCTATCTATCTATCTATCTATCTATCTATATCTATCTATCTATCTATCTATCTATCTATCTATCTATCTATCTATCTATCTATCTATCTATCTATCTATCTATCTATCTATCTACCTCTATCTATCTATCTATCTATCTATCTTTCTATCTTTCTATCTCTATCTATCTATCTATCTATCTATCTATCTATCTATCTATCTATCTATCTATCTATCTATCTATCTATCTATCTATCTATCTACCTCTATATCTATCTATCTATCTATCTATCTATCTATCTATCTATCTATCTATCTATCTACCTCTATCTATCTATCTATCTATCTATCTACCTCTATCTATCTATCTATCTATCTATCTATCTATCTATCTATCCATCATGCTAAGGACATGCTAATTCATGCTAGAATCATGCTAGTTACATGCTAATTCATGCTAGAATCATGCTAGTCACATGCTAATTTATGCTAAAATCATGCTAGACACATGCTAATTCATACTAGAATCATGCTAACAACATGCTAATTCATGCTAGAATCATGCTAGTCACATGCTAATTCATACTAGAATCATGCTAACAACATGCTAATTCATGCTAGAATCATGCTAGTCACATGCTAGAATCATGCTAACAACATGCTAATTCATGCTAGAATCATGCTAGTAACATGCTAATTCATTCTAGAATCATGCTAGTAACATGCTAATTCATGGTAGAATCATGCTAACAACATGCTAATTCATGCTAGAATCATGCTAGTAACATGCTAATTCATGCTAGAATCATGCTAATTCATGCTAGAATCATGCTAACAACATGCTAATTCATGCTAGATTATTGCTAGTAACATGCTAATTCATGCTAGAATCATGTTAGTAACATGCTAATTCATGTTAGAATCATGCTAACAACATGCTAATTAATGCTAGAATCATGCTAGTAACATGCTAATTCATGCTAGAATCATGCTAGTAGCATGCTAATTCATGCTAGAATCATGCTAGTAACATGCTAATTCAGGCTAATTCATGCTAGAATCATGCTAACAACATGCTAATTCATGCTAGAATCATGCTAGTATCATGCTAATTCATGCTAGAATCATGCTAACAACATGCTAATTTATGCTAGAATCATGCTAGTAACATGCTAATACATGCTAGAATCGTGCTAACAACATGCTAATTCATGCTACAATCGTGCTAACAACATGCTAATTCATGCTAGAATATTGCTAGTAACATGCTAATTCATGCTAGAATCATGCTAGTAACATGCTAATTCATGCTAGAATCGTGCTAACAACATGCTTATTCATGCTAGAATCATGCTAACAACATGCTAATTCATGCTAGAATTATGCTAGTAACATGCTAATTCAGGCTAATTCATGCTAGAATCATGCTAACAACATGCTAATTCATGCTAGAATCATGCTAGTATCATGCTAATTCATGCTAGAATCATGCTAACAACATGCTTATTTATGCTAGAATCATGCTAGTAACATGCTAATACATGCTAGAATCGTGCTAACAACATGCTAATTCATGCTAGAATCGTGCTAACAACATGCTAATTTATGCTAGAATATTGCTAGTAACATGCTAATTCATGCTAGAATCATGCTAGTAACATGGTAATTCATGCTAGAATTGTGCTAGTAACATGCTAATTCATGTTAAAATCATGCTAGTTACATGCTAATTCATGCTAGAATCATGCTAGTAACATG